AGTGATAACAATAGTACTGAAGTTGAAAATCGATATCGTTCTAACCCAGGAGTAGAAAGGACAAGGGTTTTATATGCAGGAATAGTTATATTGGGATTATACATTTGTTATGTTATATCTTTAATTGCATTTAAGCATAATGATGAGGAAAAAATAGGTGACGATTCTCTAGATGATAAATTTAATGGTGGTTGTGTATTTATTAAGAACGATGAAGAACAGCTCATAGATGCTTGAATTGACAAAAATTATCTTCCTGTATTAGGAAATACATACATAAATATATTCAAATATAAATACAACATTAAAATTGAATTAAATAAGAAGGTAAGAAGCGATTTTGCATAAAACATAATCAAATAAAAAATAAAGGCATAAAAGAATTTCCAAAAAAATATGTTGCAAAAATATTAATTTCATATACACAAAAAAATAGTTGTAATATATAAGTGTATGTTATAACTATTATATTTACTGAATAATTTATGATAATTAAAAGACTATTCTGTGTTCACATATGTGAGTTTTATACAATGAACATAAATATTAAGGGGAAAGCGCAAAAAATTAAAGTAGAATAGCTAGTTATAGTGTATAAAATATTAAATAAAATATAACTCCATAACAATAACCTAAAATCTAAAAACTATATCACCAAACAAAAATTTTGAACTAAGAATATTGAACACTACAACATAAACCTTGATTCCTAACCCCCAAAACTAAACCCTAAACCCTTACTATAATGGTTATATGCTTCTAACAAATATTATATAATATCGGAAAATTTGATTTTTTAAAAAAATATGAAACTCCTGAAATGAGGGAAAAAGAATTAGCCAAGGAAAAAAAATGGGAAATTAAAAAAAAGAGAGAAGATGATGTGTTAAAATATAAAGAAATAATATAAAAAGATGGAATAAAAGATTTAGACACTTATATGAAGTGCTATAAGCAAAGATATTATAGTAGGAATGGATTAGGAAAGTTTATATGTTACTCTGAAAAAAAATATTCGATGAAATAGATAAAATAGATAAATCAGCAAAAATGATTAAGAGTAACAATAATAAGGTAAAAAAAGTAATGCATATAAAGTATGTGTTCTGTGTCATATTACTTTGTCTAATTCAACTTTGTGGTATAATTATTTCAGTTTTAGATTTGATAAAATTTATGGAGGATTCTAGTAACTTTGTTGTATCTATTTTAAAGTATCAAAAATTTTATACGCTAGATTCATACATTTACGTTACCTTTTTTTTAATATTATCAAGTTTAATTTTAGCATCGATTATTTACATAATGACAAAAATTGTAAAATATGAACGTATAAAAGCAAATAGTATTAAAATGAATTTTAAAGAATATTATATCTTCTGTAAAGAAGTGTTGACCAAATAATAATTTTTAAGAGTACCTAGATGTTTATAATACTTAATATGGTATCAATAATGACTAATGTATTATATATTCTACATATGGATAACTATTACATAAATCATCATAATAGTTTAGGATTTTATAATTTTTTAAGTAATACTCTTATTTTATATAATTTATCCTTGAATTTTCTGTACATTATATATAATATATTTATATAAAAATATATATAATAAACGTATTCTTTTGTCATTATTTAAATAATTTGTTTATGATTATTCATGGTTAAAAGAATATATGTGAATATTTTCTTGTATTATATATATATAAATATTGAAGAATTATTAAATATTCTTTTGAGAGTTTGTATATAAATTCGTTTAAAAACTATAAGTATACAGATGATATACATTTTCATAATTGTTTGTCTAATAATATTTAGTTACAAAATATATTATTTTTTTTACTCTTGTATAAATTATAATTGATGTGTATCTGAATATCTATGATATTCTATATATGTATTATACACGCCAAAATCTTATTTGATTAAATTAAAAAATGGAGAATATTATTTATAAATAAAATAACTGATTTATAATAATATTTTTATTCTTCTCATATTAATATAATATAAATGAGTTATTGTTTATAAATTTATTTGTCTTATTAATATTATAAGGTATAAATATTCAATGAAATAATTAATCTTTGTATTCCGAATTGTGCTGTACAGTTTGGTGATTCATGGAATTTATTAATTTTCATTAAAAAATATTTTTTATTCTTATATTTATGTATATACATGATATAATTCTTTTAATAGAATACAATAAAAAGAATTTAATATCCTATAGTTGTATATATATTTAATCTATTATTTCTATCAACATTTATAATAATATTGCTAATATATGATATTATTTAATACTTATGCAATACAGTGAGTATTTCATAAGTAATTATATATTTTATTTGCATTCTCATTAATGATATTTATATTTTACACAAAGTCATTACGTTTACGTATGCCATAGTATATCATATATTTAAAAAAGATTACTTTTTCGCACTACAAATTTGGGTGAGTATTAAGAAAAATGATATACCATACTTTATGCACTTCATTATTATTTTGTTAGACATATGTAAATTAGGTAGTTTCCATCTTTTTTAATACTACATTCATGTTATACTTTAATCTTTATTTATTGTATATCATTCAAACAGTGGAGTAAGTAAATATTATGAAAAATATTTAATACATTTTTTATAATAAACGTATTATAAAAATATATATAATGAAAGCAATTATTAAAAAAAGCAGCATAATGACAGTCACTAAAAACTAGAAAGAACATTTATATTGTACATAATAAATAAATAGAATGATAATATAATTACAAAAAGTAATATTATAATTGTGACTAAAACAATCTAGTGATAAATGGATTCTATAAAATTTGGTAGTTTCTTGAAAGCAATTTATTACACAATATTTTTACGGTCAACATAAAAATTTTATACTTCACTGTTGAAATTATTATCTAGCATCTACATTAAATTCATTTATTTGGTCCTTACATATGTATCAAAAAAGATAATAAACTTTAGCTAAGTTTTATCAATGGTTACAATGAAATTTCTGAAAGAACATCTTATATTATGATGTTGTATTATTTAATTTACGCAATTTATTAGTATTTGTTCACATATCATTTCTGTGTTATGTTATTATTATTACGAATGGTAAAAAGTAAAAAAATATTTGATGTATTATTTGTAAAATAGTATAATATGATAACCCCAATATTTCAAAAAAACATCATATAGGAAATAAAATAAATACTTATTTCTAGGAACTATATCGCTGTTATTTGGTCAAATAAATTGCATATATGAAAATTACACACAATTTATTGGGGAACACGCTTAATTTAATTATCACATAATTCATATTCTGATGAATATTTTATAAGCACCCAAGATATAGAGCCAAGAAATATATTTGAACTGTCTGTTATTTTTTACCATATATTTTTTAGAACTTGTAACATTAATATCATTATATGTCTAATAAATTTGTTGAAAAATACATACTTGAATTATATTTTATTACGCATTAATTTTTAAATAATTCAAACTATATATTAGTAAATATGTATTCTGATTATAATATGTTTTTCAGTATATTACATTCTAGACAACACACACTATATACTTATATATTTTTTTTAATATCTTTATTTTATATTATGAAGATTCTGAAATTTCATTAATATATAATAAGAAGTAATTTCATTCACAAATTATTTCATTAATAGACTTATTTATGTCTTTTCGTCATAGAGTAATTAGTAGCATGAAAAATATTGCAAGAAATTTTTAATTGTTTATTCTTTGGGTGCACATTTAATATATATTATTTATAAGTGAATACTTCTTATGAAATCAATTTGTAATCAGTTATAACTCGGTATTCTCATTTATAAGAAAGTACTTAAATTCCTTAATATAATATATTTGTGTCAAATATATATTTTCTGAATAGCAGGTTGTTTTTTTGTTTTAAATTTAAAGAAAAAAAAAATGTTATCAAATATGTTACAAAAAAGAGTGCTCAAATATACTACAAAAATAGGTTTATTATGTCTTAGTTTTACATTAAAAAAATGGATAAATAGAAGAAAATGTAGTAAAATTTCTAACTGAATTGAAGTATACATATATATACAAAAAAAAAATGTGCTTCATCATATAAATTCTAAAATATTTTCATAGTATACATAAATTTGGGAAAAAAATTAATAAAGTATACATCTATGTAATATTTAATTCTGTTTGAAGTATTGAAACAGAAATTATGAATTAAATTTTTTATAATTAAAAAATTTTAAATGACAATATTAATTTGTTTACAGTAATCTAGACTAAAACAAAAGTAGTTAAATACGCATTACTAAAATAAAATTAATAGTTGAAACATGCCTAATATTTAATACAAACTGATTATTTAATTTTTTAAAAAATTTATATACCACTGTATTTAGTATTCAAAATAGCTATATGCGAATTGTATGCGTCTTTCTTTTCCAAACGAAGGTCCTATTAGAATTCTTTGTAATTTTTTATTCATCTGTTTCCTCTTTTTCCTTTTTCTCTTAGCAAAAATCTTCCCAAAAGGAGTGTACTGCAAGAAAAAAGAGTTAATATAATTATAATATAATTACTTTTATTAATTAAGAATATTTATTTGATTTTATAAATCATAATAAATTTAGATTACTTTAACAAGGAGCGTGCATAAAAGAAGTATGATCAGAGGAACTAAAATAATTATGATATATGTTCTTATGCGTATTTTTTCATGATCCTGTCTAGGTGGTTGTGCAACTAGATGAGGAGTAGTACTAGCTGTTATTTTTGTACCAATAGGTATACCCAAATAACTTGACTTTGGTAAATAGATTATTTCACTGGAACTGTCAACAGGATGTGCACCTGAATGCTCATTAGATTTTGATGATGTTTAATATGAGATATATGGGAATTATGTAAATTACGTTCTATAGAAGGACTGATTTATAGTAACAGTTGTTGCTGACGTTATAGCGATTCCTTCTATAATGTAGTAGGTCCAAAGTGCTCAACAACTTCAGGTGATTCTTAATTTCTTGTGGGTAATTTTTTTCCAGAATTTGTATTCCTACCTTTATGATTTTTTTCTTTATCAACAGTTCTCCTAATGCATAAATGAGTGTCATGTTCCAGTTTATTTTCCTTGCTTATTGGACTTCCTTCATTTAACACGTCTTTAATATGAATTAATTCTTGAGAAAGCTCTAAATTTTGAAAAACAGCACCTTCATGATTTCCAATAGAAGCTGCACAAGCACGAATATCATTATTACAAGATGTTATCGATGATAATTTACTATCAGAATGACCACCATGAAACTTCGTGTATCCAGTAACATCAATGTTAGTGCGTGAATCATCAGTACATGGAGATGTAGCACAAATGGTAGTAGGTGGAACAATCTTAGGTGCCAAGGCATCAGAAAGTTTATCTCCAAAATCCTCATTTGGAGAAGTAACATCAGCTGAAGTTAACTCAGTAGAATGTGTATCACTATTTTGCTCACTGTAGGTATAAGCACTTTCAATAATTGTATCAGCAGAACCTAAGACACTACTTCCTTCACTATTAGGACCTAAAACAACAGTACCGTCAGAACTAGGGTGTACACTATTAGTTCCTACACTGTCAAGTGTTCTTTGAGCAACATCTGAAACATTTTGTTCTTTAGAAGCAGGAAGTGCAGCATCATGAGTCTCTCTAGTAAAAGTTTGACCATTATTCTCTTCGTTTTTATCAGTTTTATCACTACCAGCATTAGTATCAGATATATTACCATTAAAAGAACTTTTATCTAAATCGCTCTCTTGTAATGTATTATCTAAATTATATTCATGAATAAAGGTTGTTTTTAAATGCTGAGAACTACCATTTCCATCTAAATCTTTATTTGATGGAACAGCTAGCACAGGTAATGACCCTTTTGGTGCCTCTATATGTGCATGATTACTAGACTGAATTCTTTCTATTTGTTCAGATGCTTCAACTTGATTTTCAATACTTTTCGTGCGAAGTTCTCCGACTCGTGGGTCTGACGAACCTATTTGTCGTTGAACTAATTCTTCTACACCACTTGGTTCTTGATGCTTTTCTTTGAAAGATGTTCCTTCTAATTTTAATTCAGCTGTACTATCAACAGGTGTCACAGTGTTCGTACTGCACTTTGGTAGACTTGAACATGTATTAATAAATTTCGCTATTGTGTCATCTTTACTTAAATGAAATGGTATATTAACCTTCTCATAACAATCCTTTAACTTATAATTTTTTTCATTTACATTTTGATTAATTTCATCACATTTTTTAGAATCATCTATACATGAAATTACACCAAAACTATTAATTTTTTTTGTAATTTCATCATTAAATTCCAAATATATATCCATGCATTCATCAAACGTGGCCTCCTTGTTACTATTGTCCGTAGTGATGGTTATAGTGCTCATATTTTACTCTTTATTTTTACAGATGTCTTTTTATTTTCTTCGTTTAAATAAATAAATCAAGAAAATAGTTTATGCATATAAGTATACATATTTTCAAAAAAGAATATGCATTTTTAATTTCATCATTTTCACATTTATATATGTACAAATAATAATATTAAGAAATGCATAAATATAATTTCCTATATACTAATAATATTTTTTCACAGTAAACATGCAAAGATTTTTAGATAATATTTACACTTACAATTATTTATAAACATCACTACAAAATAATTGAATTCGAAAAAATTATTTTTAACTAATTTTTATTAATTAAATTAATATATCATAAGTGTCATATACCCTAATAATAGGTGTAGAAAATAAATGATGGTAAAATATACATGAGAATATAAAGTTAATACACACTGCAATCAAACAAATCAAATAATGAAAGTTATAATTTTTCATTTATGTTATATTATCAAATATAAAAAAACATATTTTATAAATTCTTATTTACACACATATATATGTATGTCCTTTTTATAGTAATAGTCAGACAACTCATATTCTTAATATTATTTGTATTCTTCTTTATAATTTCTTTATTTCTGTGTTTGGGATTAATATATTTCATATAAGCAGTGTTATTAGTAAAAGGAAATGCTTCTGTATTTTGGTGTCAAATAAAACTGTGAGTGTCCATACTTCTGTTTCATTATTGTTACACCTATGTATTTTGAATTTCATAAGGTTGCATATAAACACAAGGAATAAGTAATATATGAATTGCAAGTACATTTTTTTCTTATTTTATAAAGGATTTTTAATTAAAATATTTATTTAATAAATAAAACAAAATACACACTATGCGTATTGAAAAATATATCTTCGTGATTCTGTTGTGTATATATTTTATATTAACTTTTCTAGAAGAATATTCCCCGATAGATATATTATTACATATACACATATATTTTTTCTTCCAACAATAAATTGCATTCAGGGTATAATTAAAGACAAATAATGTAAATAGAATTAAACAAAAATGTAATGTTAAATAAGCAATACTTATATAAATCGTATAATTTTTTGAAAATTGCCAATATATATAAGGAATATTTAATGACCTCAATAATAAAAAATATCACACATAATTCAATATAGAATATTAGTAGAGTAGAATATATATAATAAAAGCATAAAAACTCAGATCATAATTTGTTATTATTTTATTTTTATAATTTGCTTTCCTTTTTTACATTCAATTATATGTTGTAAAACAATTATTTTTATCCTCTATATTTAGAAATATATTATTAATCTGTTTAATCATAATGACTTATTATCTTTTATGTTGCATATATAAACACAATATGTGTATAGATATACGTGTAAAATTAATTATATTTGTAATTAGGAACTTTATTAAAATGGCATATTATAATTTTTATATATTTTCTTTTGTGTTTAGCAATGTACTCCACTCATTATATAGTGTCATTTCAGTACTTTTCCTATTCGCGTGAATTAATTAATAATAATTTTGAATTGTAGTATCTTGAACTAATCTTAAAAAACATATTTTATAAATCTAGAAGAGTTTAACTTGTGTTCTTTGCTATGGACATTAGGTCTATTAGTTGTTATTTCAATTTATTGATTTTACTATTTTTTTATTAATTATATTTATGATAACCTTATTCATTTTTCTCTCGATGTTTATATTGCATATAGCAAAACTTAATATATAATTAATCACTCAAAAAAAAGTTACTATTTTACTTTTAAAAAGTTAATTGCTTAGAGGATAGTGGTAATTTCAGAAATATTTAATCATAATTTCAATGCAGTTGGATATAGTATAGTACTAATAATTTACTATTTTATGATTCATTCATATCCATTATGTATTTTTTCATTCGTATATATTATATTTAAGCCATTGTTTTTGTTCCCCCAATGTAACAAAGGACTCTTCAATTTAATTTATGCCTATTTAAGAATTCTTTATTTTATGATTGTTATATATATGTATCTATTCATTTTAAGACTTTATAGTCATTTTAGACACTATTATTTTTATATTTCCGGATTAGTATTAAGTTGTAATGTAAAAATGACTATTTTTAATGTAGTGCATAAGTATTTTATATAAAGATTTTTAACTATAAACATATTCTTTTATTTTACTATGACATGAGATAGAACATTTTTTCACACACATTTTAATTGAATTAAAAGATTTACACACTCTTGTAAAATTCTTTTCATAGAATTCGAAATATCAAAATGAATTTTATGAATTGTAATTTTCCAGATAATGTTAATTATTATAGTATCATTTTCTGTATATTTTGTAAAATATATTATTTTACTCATAAAATTTGTTTATGAATAATCATCCTAAAGTATTAAGTGAGCCTCATATTGGAGAATTTTTTTTATTCCCTGAAATATGGATTAAACTCCATATTTTCCACTACTATAATGAATTCATAATTATTTTACGTTGTTATAGTTGTAGCAATAACACATGTTAATATAGAATTATAGAAAAAATAAAAAAACAGACATTGTCTCGATAAGATTTCTATAAAAAAATAAATAAATGCACATGCGTATGTTAAGGGGTATTTTAATAATAGAACGTACTAACACAGTGGGGAATGTTTTTCTATGTTTATATGTCAGTGTACATATGCTTTATATTATGTTCATAAAGAACAGACTTTAAATGAAATAAAATCTCAATTTATTTATACACATTTATGTAATGAAAGCGACACTTCCTTTCATCTATACATTCATTAATGTCATAATTTTTTTTTAAAAAGAATTGTGTACTCTATAATGATTTATATTTTCATAAAGACAAGATACTTAAAACCATTATCATTATCACGTTCTCTTACTATATAAACGAAAGAATTTTGCATGTTCAACGTGATTGGCATATTAATAAAAAATGTGTAAGAATTTATTATTTTTTAAATTAAAAATATTTATAATTTCATGATAATTTGATAGATAAATAAATAAACGAAACATGTGGGGAAAATAAATTAGAAGGTTTCTTTCTATAAATTCTTCAAATTACGCGAACCACTTTAATTGGGACATATATGAGATTTTGTTTCACTGTAGTTTACGAATTATGTATTTTTGAAAAGATAAATCTCATGTGCAATTACTTTTATTTTTTTTTTTTTAAGTGATTTTAAAAAAATTTTATTTAATATTTTTATAAAAAAATATTTAACCTGAAAGTTTATTTATTACATGCTAAACAATGAATATATTAACAAAGGACTTCATTCTGGTGTAACCAATTTTAATTAAATCCAAATTCCACATTTTTGCAAAATGTAATATTATATCAAATGGTACACACGCATATTTCACAACTTTTTTTATGTCATATATATTTTTTACGCATGAATCGAAATTGCACTACCGCATAGTGTGTTTAATAATTTATATCACTTTTACCTACTTTATTGATCTTGTTAATTATTAATTATTAATATGTTTAAAAATATATAATTTAATTACTGACATGAATAACTGCTGAAAGAAGGATAATAAGAATAATAAATAGAACTATCCCTTTTTAATGAAGAATTAAAGCTTCATATATTTATTTAAAAATATGCGTGCTATAATTATAATATGATTTTTTTATAGATGATATCTCAAAAGAAAAACATAATAATGATATGAATGTGTCTTAATTTTTGCTGCGTTAAAATAAGAATCATGTGATTCATTATGTATTATTAATAGAGTTATATGGTATTCTAATAGACTTATGTTCTGCAGAAAAATAATTTCCCTAGTAAATTTATGAATAATTAAAGGTTTTCATATTTTATGGAACTAATGGTAACATGGAAGAGACTATGATAATTAAAAAAATATAGTTTCAAATAATTTTTTAATTTTTATAAGTAAATTATAAGGGTAAATAATATTTGAGTAGATCATGCATAATTATATTCAGTTAGTAAATAGAACACATAAGTTGATCTTTATTTGATGTAGATGTCGAATACTAAAATAGGATCGTGACATTAATTAAATGAATTGGGCATATTTACCTTTTTTACACTTAAATTAACAAGTTTGTGTAGACACTCCATAGTACTAAAAATCATGAAAATACTATTATTTAAGAAAAATTTATGTTTATATAATACTACATGCTTTTTCGGATTAATAAAATGAAATTCTTCCCTAAATATCTATAAAAAATAGAAGAATTTGATAAAGTATATATTATAAATAATAATATCGAACACGTAACATGTTAGAAAACATTAACGAAGATGGTATAATTTATTTGATGTATAATATAATGCATTTAAAATAACTGTCTGTTAAAAACGAAAATTGAAACATAAATGGACATTAAGTTTTACCAATAGATTCATTGATATAATAAGGGGTAGCTACCATAATGGGTAAGAATAAAAATATAAATATATTAATGACAAACTTTCGATTTTTAGCAGAGTTAATTATAAAATATTCCTATTTGTAACCCAGTCAATGTTATGAGTGGTGTTACAAAATACATGTATAGAGAGGATATATATACGTAAATATTTTTAAATTTATTAATGTGTTAATAGTAATAACTGTGGAAAAGGTTTTAAATAAGTGTATTAAACCGTTTTATATGAAGTATTATAATAGATATACAACTTAACGTTATTGTAGAACTTTTCAGTACCATTGAGAATCTTATTTTACATGTGAAGAAACACATAACAAAAGTGCCCTATTAACTATTTTAAAGTTATTATGTAAGGAGTTATGTATAGGCGACGTTAAATAAGTTAAGGATGTAGGAATCAAAAAACACGAGATAGATTGACCATCATACCAAAAAGTTAACATCAGTCTGAGTCTAATAAAACTACGCAGCATGTTTCAGGTATTCAAACTCATGTATCAAGAAAAAGAAATTCCACTTTATCTATTGTTGAAGCAACAAGTTAAGAAACATTATACTCATGTAATTCTTATAGATTTATCATACTTGCATAAATATTACTAACATCTACATTATTATACTTTTTTTGTGTAAATATAAATTATAACTTAATATACAATTGTTTTATTTCAACTTATATAATTCATTTAAGTTAATTTTATATTTATAAAATAATTATATTCCTCTCCTTTTATGTAGTAGTTTACATCATTTGGATCAACCTTTTATAAAATGGAAACAAAGAAGAAAAAAATAAATAAAATTTAAAAAGAGATATACAAAGTTATCTGGTGTCTTATAACCCATAATATAAATTTATGGATGGTCACCTGAGATATTTTTATCTGGTATATCATCATGCACGAAATTATTTTCTGTAATTACAGCCTTAAAATAGAGTTGTGCGGATAGTTTATATGAACATAAATACTAGTAGAGTTATAAGAACAATCCGTTATATAAGACAAAAAACGTAGAGCTACAAAAAATATTGAAATATAGGTGCTAAAAAAATCAAGACATAAACTTTATAAAGCATAAAAGTGAATATTTTTTTATGTGAGAGATTCATGCATACGTCATGCCATATAAAAGTTAATTTTAATAAATTAATTAAAGAAAGTATACGCTTATTGTAGATTAGCATAATTTTAATATAAAGAAAAAATATTAAATGTTACATGCATTATTATATCAGGGGTGTATAAGTTAAGTGGAAAAGAATAAGGCATCAAATTAGAAACGAGAGATATATCTTTTATGTAAATTAGAGCATAATTACACTGATTAGGAAGCAATGTAATGGATTATCATAGTTATATGTCCGGAAGATATGATGCATTTGATGTAATTAAAAAGATAATTTACAAAATACAAATACATGTTAAACATGATCTCATAATATATAACTCATTATTTTTTTATGACAACAATATAAGGAAAAATGTATTATAAAATATATTTTTTATTATTGAATTATATAATATGCTAATTTAATAAATATTAATGTTAATCATATAAGATATTTCTCAAAGTTGTTTCTACATTTTATTGTTATATATAAAATAATATAAAATTTTAAGAAAATAAAAGATTGTATGAAGATATTATGATTCAGCTATTCATTCAATTCAATACATATATATAATTATTTCACGCATGGTAATAACAAAAAAATATATATCAATGCCTTTATTTAATTTTCTTCCAGTGCCTATGTATTGTTAATGAGATTAATCATAGCTTCACAGAAACATAAGAAATGTTAGACAATAATTGAAATGCAAAAAAAAAAAAAAATAAATCTGAGAAAATGCATTAAATAGTACAAAATGAGTAAATATAAAAGATGAATGATGTATTGTATTTTTGTCCTTATGCTATACAAATTAACATCTGCGTAATAAAGTTTCTCATATTAGTATCGTTAATGTAGAACACTATATCATTTGCATGGGAAAATATTAAAAAAAAAATAAGTGCAATGGATCAATATTAATTATTCTTAAGTTTACATAATAATTAAAATTACATTTTCTGTAATATTTTATAACGTAATGCCCTGATATGTTTAGTATAAAATTATGTAAATTTTATTCACTTACTATCAGGATTTGTAATAGGATTCTTCTTTTTTGTATTAAATGATACATTATCTATTATTTTATTTGTGAAATCTGAATCATAACTTAAAATTTTATGCAGCAAACTTCAGTAAATAGAAACAATATACATAGAATATTTATTGGTAGTTATTATATTATATATACAAACTATTGGAAAATAATATTTTGAAACATTCTCACGTTAAATTAAGAAAACGTATTTCTTTCTTTGTTTTTTTTCGTTTCTGATGTTAAATAAGATACTACAGGTTGAATATGTATATATATAAATTGTCCGCTTATTTAAGTATATTTTAACATTATTACATTATTGTTGTATAGATATAGATCATAAATCTTAAAAATAAATTGAACAATTGATATTTTTAGTTATATTTTATATTTTGCAATAAGGAATTAATAATGAAAATTCATTAAAGGAAAGCAGTAGGATGTATAAATTTATTACTGTGATGATTCGCTTTTTGTAGAGATAAAAATGAGGGGGTTGTGATAAATCTAGAATTTATGTTAGATTTAGTATTTTAATTTATTCACGTTAAACTAAAACTCGTATCTATTAAACATATGCATATTCTCGTGCTCATATAAATATCATATGTCTATGTCTTCATGATGACCATATTATTTTATAATTGTATGATTTTTTTTATAAAAGCAGCGCATACATATAATTAAAATTATAGAAAATAATATTATTTATAAAAATTGAGTATTTCAAACGAATACAATTCTTTAAATAAATAAGAGCTATTGCCCTATGTAAATTTTCATTAGATTCAGTATGCTCTAAATTCATTTTTAAACAATCAATCTATCAGTTTAAATTTCAAACAAACACATTATATGTTTATGTATTTTAATAATTAAAATATATTATAATAGAAATATATATCAAATTTTAATTAATTAGCTTCTTATATTTTAAACAGTGTTGTATTGCCAAATATTTATTGTTATTTAAATACAGCATATTAGTTCTTAACAACATAGAATTCAATAACTAATTAAAAAATTAATAATATATGTTAGCATATAAAAAAATACATTATATTTTTTCTTTTTAATATATAATATTCTTTTTCTTGCGTATTTTAGATGCAATATATATTAATTTTATTACGCAGAAGACATTATATATATAATTTTAATATATTAAATTTGGACATATCTATTTATTTATGTTTAATTATATTATTTAATGGCTGTCATTACATCTTAATAATGTACTATTTTATTTCTAAAATATAGTAACAATTACAATTATCATTCCTTCTCGAATAGTAGTTTAACATTAATTTCTCAACTATTTTCTCAAATTCAAAAAATATTAATATATATTTTGATAATTTTATTAATAATTTAAAGTACATTTATTACAATATTTATATTTAACTTTTTTAGTAAAAAGCAATTTCTCTTTGAAATGCTTTAAACAAAGTGTATCGAGGCATTTCTCCTTATATCTTTTCTTAAGAGTGGTCTAATGAATCATATGATATTTTATAACTTTTATCCATTAATTGTTTGCAAGAAATTTCACATAAATGCATTAAATTGAGATTCATATTACTTTTCTTATTCCATAATCGTTTTATGTTCCTCATCCTTTGATGAAAACATGAACCGTATTGAGTATACTGATAATAAAGGAGAAATGTGATATTTTTATGAATACTATATTTTTTGATTTAAATTTTCCTCGCAATCAGTATTATAAATTGTAATTATAATTAAATAATACAAAAATCAATTTGCCGTTAACCCTATACAAAATAAGCATAATGAAAGATATTACAAATGTTATAATTAGCGTAGATAAAATAACTGTAGTCATGTTTACATAATAATCATATAGTATCTTAGGAAAACATGGACAGTACAATGCTGTTTTCATGTGATCATTATATTTTTGTCTAAATTCTCTTAATTCTTCACAAAAATTCCTGCTTTTTCCCTTTTGGCATATCGATAAGAGGTCCCTATATTTATTATAGCATTTGCTACTAGAGGAGCAATTAGTAGGATCTTCTTCTAATGCTTTAAAATCAGAATACAGTTGATCAAGGTTTTTTAATATGTAAAATGTGTCATTGTCAAGATCATCAACATAATCTTGACATGTATTAGATATTTTTTTACCCTTGTGTTCTATTCTTATTATATTTTGGTAACACTGCTTTTCACCATTACAAGGGAATTTAAATTTTGTCAAAATATCTTTTAGGATAAAGTTGAAATATTTACAATATGAATATTGATCACTATTATTTTTAAGCTTTATAAGATCTAAATATTTGTAAAATTTCTGACAATACGCAATAATACTATCATTGGAGTCAAAAAACCTGCTTCTAATAAGATTGCACAAAGTTGTAACTTCACGATCAGGTGGAGTTGGATTATTAAATTCATCTTTACATTTGGTAAATATATCTTTAAAATTGAACTAATAAAGAAAATTTAATTAAAAAATAATATATGTTCAAATTTTTTTAAGAAAATTATTCTTATATGTATAACATATATCAGTAATTAAAATTTAAGGAATATTAATTATTTTTTTTTTAATAAAAAATATAAATATACATTTTTATCTAGAACAATAGAATTGCCCATTATGATTAATATATTCTTATACGTTTAATAAACTATTATGCTTTAATTTATTATATAGATTATTGTATTCATAAAGATAATATATATATTACATTTATATTATGTATATTTTAATTTTTATGAGTTATTGTATTTAAAAAATTCTGCAATATATATATATATATTTAAGAAATTTTCTTTCTTGATAAACTGTGGTATTATTTATTCGGGATACATAGGAATCATAATTACACAAATATATAATATGAAATATCGATACAGGACTCAAAAAATATATATAAATGAGAAAGGGTAAGTATTGTTCTTTCTATAATTCCCTCTCTTTATACAATTAATATATCAACTATATTTATATGCAAATTTAGTATTATATGTATATACATAATCAATAATTTACAATTATTTATTTATATTTCTTTACTCTATCATGTAAACTAGACATGAATTAATATATCTACAAAGGGAATAAATATATAATTTTCAAGCATTCTCAATTTTCCATAAGGATATATAACAATCGCTTGTTTTTTTTTTTTTTACTTTTAATGTATATTTCTTCTAAATATGAAGATTTATAGTTAATATATATTAAATGAATATAAATTATAGAATAGTAATATTATAATGAAATCTTTGCATTCATAAAAATGTATATACTATTAATTATAAATTTATATTATTTTATAATATATTCTTCTGAAAATATAAACATTATATGAATATGTTTATTTAAATTATATGTGCATTTCTTTTTTTCCTTACCTTTATCCTTTGAGACATGCATCATTTTATTGTTTGTATATTTTGAGCATGATTTCATAATACAAATCTCCAATATAATATTTTATTATGTAAAATATTAATACAAGTATTATATAAAAGTAATTAAATTTATATAAATAAATTATGATAAACATATTTTTTATTTGTAAAAAAACATTAGTACATAATTTTTTTACCTTTATATTAAATATTATTAAGGAAAATTATATTTAAATTCATGTGTGTGCTTTGTGTTATATTTTATACATATTAAAATTTTGATAATAATACTTTACAAAATTATTATATATAATACGATGTCTATACAATTTAAATGTATAATTTTTTTTACATTTTACATAATTCATCGCTATATATCTACTCATTTTTAATAGCGAATGACTTTTTGATATATTAATTATAGAACAAATGTATTTTTTTTATATAATTCATGCTTCGTTGTTATCTATATATAATAAAAATCTATTTTTTTTTATTATAGTAATCAGGATATATTTAATATATCATTATGTATTTTTCAGTGATAACATTCTTTTATTTTCCTTTTGCACATTAAATGTATTGCTTATGTACGCTAAAGAAAATAAATATTATAGTATTTATTTTTTTATTATTACAGCAATCAATCTTATTATGAATTATTTAACATAGTATCATAAAAATGCAAATAATATGATTTATTTTAGTGTAAAATGAAAAAAAATGTGTAAATAAATTCCGCATTTTTATATTTTATACGTAATATACAAGTTAAATAAATGAAATAACAAAATAGTTTTTATTTAGATTATTGACATGCATTGTATTATTTTATTTAAAATAACTATTTTTTGTGGAAATATATTAATTATAAAAATAATTTATAATTATGTTATCTAATTTTTGTAATATTAAATATGTATTAATTAATCATGATAAAATAATATATTATAATGCATTTATTTTTATATGCCCCATAAAAGGAATAATAATTATAATCTATATTTACTATTTTAAATAAGCTCTCATTACGCACATCATACATAATATTATTATTCATATTAATAATATATACAATGATAAAATTATATAATTACATAAATTGATAACAACTAATACATATCACTTGTTATATGTCATTGAGTAAGATTTTCCTATTATAGAAATTAACACAGTTTTGTTATATATTCATATTATTTTTCTTTTCTTTAATGCTTATACGATACATATTCTATATATTAATATTATATAAATATAATAATATATTTATAACATATCTCACTTAATATATTATTGAGAAAATATAATAATTATAATATAAAGTTTTATAATAAAAAATAGATGTACATATATGTATCCTATAATATATTTTTAATATTATCCTTAATAAAAGGCGTACTATTTCTATATATACTGATGCAATCTATGATATAATTATATTATATATTAAATTTTATGATATATATCACTAAAATAAGTGCTTCACAATATTGTGTTTTAAATATATTTTAAGAAAACCTAAAGTAATTACATTCTTTATATCTGTATGTTATATATTTTTGCGTTAATTGCTGTAAATACAAAAATTATACAAATATATAAATGATTAAAAATATTTTTTACACATGTAATTAAATTTATACCACTTTTTATTAAATTAATTTTAAACAAAATACACATTATATATATTATATAACTATACTAATTTTTCTGAAAATGTAAGACAAAATAATTTCTATATATATTTAATGAATAAAGCAGAACAAATTATTTAATGCATTATTTGTATTACAATTTTATTTTTATAATTCTTTACCAGTGTATACTTGTGAAATAAAATATTTTAATATAAATACAAAAAAATGTATAAAAACCATAAATCTATAAACAAATGCATTTGCATAATGCTTTAGTTTCCAGGATACAATTTGAATTACATTTTATTACTTCAGTAGTATATTTTTTTTCTCTTCTTATAAAATTTTAAGATCAAAAATAATATTTGCTCAGTATTATCAATGATCAATGTAGAATATGATATATAGGAATACTAAAAATATATATTCCATATTATAAGGAAAAAGAATGAAGATAAGATGAATATTCTTCCCATTTGTTAATGTAACATTTTGTATCATATTTTGTAGTTTATATTTCTTATAATGGTGTAATTAAGTTATTTAAAAATTGTTATAATTTATATATGTATATAAGACTCAATTATATTACACAACAAAAAATTATATAAATTTTATTTCTATTTTTTACAGTATATTCCGAAGGAATAGCTTATTTATATATGAATTATAAAATAATATATATAATGGAATATAATATAGTTATGTTTCTTTTATTATTTATGATTAACAAAAAATATTAACACATAACAAACTAATTAGGATATTATTCAAATTTCAGTATAGTCATTACATGAATATATGTTTTTTTTTATGATACATGTTTTATTAAATATATATAAGTTGTGATACCACAAAAATGTGACATATTATATATTTTTCTTTATATTTTAAAATATTTTATTCAATTATTAATTCATTTGAATAGATCCTTATTAAAAAAAGTTACAGTGGATTATTTATTATTATATGCAATAAATAAGTTATATTAATAAATATGGAATTTTTATTTATTTTTCTTAATAAATAAAGTAAAATAATGAATCATTAAAATATATTTATTGAGAAACATGGTAAACAATTATTTACTTGATTTTCACTGTAATATATTCGAACTCTTACTTGACGAAATAATATAAAATTTAATAATTATATAATATATTAAAAATTCTTATAATATTAATAAAGTTTATCATTAGAAAAGATTAATTTTATAGATATATTAATTTTCTTAATGTAATATTGCACTGAACCTGATACTTAATATTCAATGTATATCCCATTTGATTATGCTATAATTATTTTTTTAGATTATTCAGTTCAACCTAATATTGGACGTTAAAAATTTCTCATTTTCTTTTTTATGTCATGAGAATTTATTTAAACTCAAATATTACTTATTAAATGGTGGCTATATTGTTATTGAAACTCTTGCAGGTTATTCTACACATACTTTATTTCATTCCATATACCATAATGTTAAACTGAATATATTATATACGTGCAAAAAATTCTCTACCTTTAAATTTATAACATTTTTCTTGTATACATAATTGGGATACATAAAATTATTAAAATTAAATGACATACATTTTATTTAGAAGGTAATATTTTAATACATGTATAAAAGGTTCAGTATACAAGATAGCATGTATATGAAATTCTTATGTATGTATAATTTAAGATTTAAAATGAGATTTCAAATTTGGTAAATATATCATTAATAATTGAATGTAATATTGTGCATCCTTGGATTATTTAAATTTTTTTTTTATCATATATATGTAAATTATTTTTTTCACTAATGACATCTATATCTAAAGTATTCGTTTACTCCTCAGAATATGAACAATATATTTACGAACATATATTTTGATTCAAAAGGTTTTTAATAAATGATATTATATTCAGGTTTTACTCTCCGTGATTAATTGCGAAGAAATTCCTCAATAGAATGTCATATATCACTACAATCTATATTTCAACATTCATTATTATTTGTAATATGCGCTAAAAGAGGTTTATAGTTAATAATACGGATAAACATATACTTATGTTCATTAAATAAAAAAAATAATAACGAAAAATTTATTATTTATAAGAATATGACGAATTAGGCATATTTTTAGTTAATTAAAAACAAATTAAATTTTTACATTTTGCTATATTTAAATGAAGTGAAACAAATCTCAAATTAAAGAAGTGAAGTAAGTCATCATTAATTAAAGTGTGATTGAATAAAAAACGCGATTCTAACGAAATTATATTATTCATTTTTTAATTTGTAATACAATAGAATACAAAACAATTAGTTTACTGTTTTAAATAATTAAATACATATATACAGTTGAAGCTCGTAGACTACATAATTTATTGCATAAATATACATATTCAATAATAATATTTCCTATAAAATATTATAAACTTATAAAAATATATATAATGAATTTTATTGAACAAACTGTAACACATAAAAAAAATATACATGCTAATATTCAGTTTTTTCTATTATACACAAAAATTTTATTTTTTTGATGCGCCTTTTGTAAATTTTCATAATTAAATATACATTTTTTAAAAATTAAATGTGCGTAAAAATATTATTATATATATGATGTTATAGAAATATTTATAACATAATAGAGATTATTTATATAAATTTATGAAGAATCATTATAATCACATAAATTATTTTTTTTTTCTGCTTTGAGTAATTTACGGCATATTATAATTTTTATGAAAATATATATTAATACAAATAATGATAATACAGATGTTCCTAAAGCTCCATAAAGTAAATTTGATTCCGTTTTAAGAATAAAATACTTTAAGAGAAAAAATATTACTCCTGAAGAAAATATAATTAGAGGAAAAGAAAATATAATTATCATGTGTGTGAATTGAGATACTGTACTTCTTTTCTGATTAACATTTCTTTGTTTAATCAAATTGTGTATACTACACATTCTATAATATATTTTTTTTTCAATATAGAAATCTATTATTGCGAATATATTATATATTTTAGGTCTTCTTCTTTTATATCTTTTCTGAGACTTCATTTTGTGTATTAATTTTTTTTTTAATTCATTGTATATAGCTTCCTTGTCCATTTCATGATTCTGTAATAATCTAGTTTTTCTTGAAATCAATAATATATCTACATTTTGTATATTACTAATTGATTCATCGAGGAGTCCCTACAAAAAGAAAAAATTAATAATATTTCCTTAAATATAAATATACGTTTTTTTTGCAATAAGCGTATTTATTTAGAAATCATACAGATTAATCAAAAGAAAGCAATGTTTATATTATGTTTTTACAACATTTTTATAATAATGGGATATCCAAATTAAAAATAAAATTGCAAAGATTCTAGTAAAACAGCCAAACTTAAAAAATGATGCCATTTTGTTATTTCTTAATTGTAACATGTACTAAGCAATGAATTTTTTATAGGTATTCGTATACATATTATATTATGAGAGAAAACATTAGTTAGACATTATATGATGATTAATAAGACTCTCTATTTTTTATTTAGTTTTCAAAAATATACACATATTTATATCTTTTTTTAATATATATACATAAAAATCTAATTTTTTAAATACTTTTAACAAAATATTACTCAAATATTAGAAATATATATAAGAGAATTAAGACTAGATTTATATAAATTCATGTGCATATATTCTGAACAATATAACTTTGTCATTTAGTGCCTTGTATACTATATAAATCTTATGCTAAATGTTCCTTAATTAAATAAAATAACTGTGCGAATAATGAACTACAGAAATTATATTAAATTTTATTAAACATCTTGTAATAAATATTGAAGATTTACAAAAAACTTTGTTAAAATTATAATTGTGAACTTTTATAAATTTTAATGCAATATGATACTATTTTGTATAACGTATACATTAGAAGAATTTATTATTTTAAAGAATATAATTAGTTGTTATATTTATAAAATAATGTAATAAAATATATATTTAATAATATATATAAGCAAAATACGTGAGGCGTATATGAGAGATAATAAAGTTTTAAAAACTATAATTAAAATACAAGATGTGCTTTAATTTTACTATTACTTGTTTTAATGAAAGAATGTGCTTTTGTTTATTGTAATGAATATATATGTTATCTATATTAAATAAAGATGTAAATAGAAAAAGTGTTTATTTATTTATATTTTTTTGGAAATATATAAGTTAGTATTACTATTTTAGAAATAATTCATATATTACTACATATAATATATGTAATGATGTTTACTATAAATAATATTAATTTAACTTATTGCATAAATATTTTTATTCCATAGAATTCTATGTCAAATATTTTTTTGTAAAGTGTACAAGAATTATGGATTATTTATATATTTAAATAATATATTATATCTATTATCATTAAACCTCTTATATTATGTATATTTCCTGGAGTTAATTTTATAATATATATTAATTTATTTCTTTTTTTTATGAAATAAATTTTTATAGGCATTAATAGTTTCTCCAGTATCTTAATTATATTTAGTTATGGTTAAAATGTAATAATAGATCATGGATTATATATGCTTCATCATATAATAACAATATAAAAACACATAAAAAAAAATTGATTTTATAATATCTACTGTATATAATGAGACTTATTCATATTATTACCTTATTTATAAATTTGTATTATTTTTACACAATAATAGTCTATTAAAAAAATGAAAAAAATAATTACTTTTATATATATTTAAAAATAAATATATTTAAAATTTTTAAGCTTCTATATAGATTTTGATATAAAAGAAAAATTATTCTTCATTAATATCGCTGAGGAAACAATCCTTTACGTGTTACTGATAGTATAAATGCATATTTAAATAGTTTTTTTATAATTATACTAATTTTACTCCTCCATGAACAAAAATTTTTAGAACCAAAAAAAATAATTTACATTAGAAAGATCAGTGAAGAGATCACTTGTATGTACAGTAGAGAACACATTACATAATTATTTTTACCCTATGATGAATATACATTTCATATAGTATCTGTAGGAAATACGTTTTAATTATATTTTTTTTATGGCGCATATAGCATATTTTTCTCTTCATATCTTATAAATATTAAGTATTATATATAATGTTAGCCATAATATGTACTGATAATTTACGTACATAATATTATATATTTCTTTTTATTTGAATTCTATTTGGTTAATCTATATAATAGACACGAATAATTTTCTTTCAACAACATATAACAGGGAAAAATTAATGCATAGATTATGGATTAATTTATATATATGTTATAATAATAAGAACAATATTCTAATGGTGTTTTAATTAAAATTAATTATAAAAAAAGTATGTAATATTTAGAAATTATTTTTTGACTTTTCTTTTTTTTTTTATTAACTTATATGCTCTAAGAGTTACCCATAAACAGGATCTTCTTCATAATGTTGCTTCAAATTAACGTATATATTTTCATTCACAAAATTAAATTTTTGAAAAAGAATTATCATAATTGCTATAATGAAAAAAATGCATTAATAAAAAATTAATATGAATACGAATTCACAAATGATGCATATTCATATAAAAGGATAAACAAAAACACAAAATAAATTTAACTATGTTACAGTTAAAAAAAACTAAATTTTAATAATTCTTTCTGGAAAAAGAGTGATATAAATATGTGTAAGAATATACATTTTTGTTTCATATTAAAAATGCAAAATATTCATATAATTTATAGAAATAAAATTCCTTAAAAAAATAAATAAATTATAATATAAAATTGATTTTGGCAATGCATTTGTATTTTATATAATATTTATTTATCTTTACAATATATCATTTAATTTGGATGATTATTTTTTATATTCATGTCAACTATTATAAACAAAAAAAATAATTATCTAGAGTAAAATATATGTAACGGAAATTTTTTAAAACAGAGAAAATATTATTTTCTTTTTTAATATATTTATTAACCATATATATATAGCATAACATAATGCACATGACAAAAATATGTTTGAAAATATCTATAAATAACTGAATTTGAATAATATATTATTATAGTACATTTATAACTTATACCATTTATATCTACAAACATATTCATATTATGAGTATGCATATTTATAATTATTTAAAAATAATTAAAATTTCAAAGTCTACGATGTATATTTTATGTGAAGTCATATGTAATAATATCCTGAGGGAGAAAAAATATTATCTAATTATAAAAAATCTGTAAAAAATTATTATTAGTTTCACAAAAAAAGGAGAATTTTTTCAACTACAATAATATAGAAATTTTTATTTTATATACTCTTGAAGGATTGGAAAATATTATTATCCTTGTAAGCCTATAGAAAGTTTGTTTTTTATTGTATAAATTAAAAAGAAATTCTAATTTTTTTATTTTAACTACTATCAAAATTAAAATTATTTTAAATCTTTTTTGAATTAGGTAGAATTATATATTTTCGAAATATTTGTTGTACTCATTAATTGAATTAATAAACCAAATTCATATTTTATGTATATTATTACTATATTTATATTTTTACTTTTGTATTATCTACCATTTATTCAAAATTATTATAATTTTTCATAATTATACATTTATAAAATAATGAGTTTATTATTTTTCTCATGAATTAAGGGTGTACAAATAAATTTATACTAACAATTCTAGTGTTTTCTGAAAGTTTTACACGTAAATTTGAATAAAATATTTTAACTATTTTCCCATGGTTTCTTATATACATAATTATTATAAAAATATTATTATTAAAAATTAAAATAAGTTAAATAATTATTATTATATTCTAAAAGATAAAAAATATTTTGATAATAAAAAATTATAAGAACAAATTATTATATAGTGAATGTACTAATTATTGATTTATATAATGAATAGGATGAAGAAAATATCAACTTTTTTTAAAATAATTACATTTCTATTTTTAATATGGATTTATATAATCTATGAGTTGGTAGGTTTATATATAAATAAATATTTATTTTTTTTTATAATATATCATTGCATTTTTTCTAATAATATAATTATATATCGTATCATCACATATTAATTATTTTTTTTCTTTTTTTGAGTGTTCAATTTGTGAATCATTGAATAAAACGTGCTATTTAAATGGATTATATGGAATAATTAATGAAAGGTTATTGACAATGAATGAAATGGATAAGGATATAAAACATTCACGAATAGATGAACACAATTCGAATAAAAAAGGTAATAGCAAATTAAAAATTGAAACTAAATCTTATTCAAAATCTAATCAATTAAAAGAACTCAAACATAGTAGAAATAGTGAGCATAAAAATTTTAAAATAAATATATCATCTTTTAAATTATTATTCAAAAGACCAAATATAATTAATAATAATAAAATCATTGTAGCATATAATTATATAAAAAATTTGAAACAGCGTATAGATTGGGATAAGGAAAAACGAAGAAGAAAATGGATACTAAGACAAATTGAATTTATTATTTCACTTTTTTCCTTAGTAATGTTTGTATCAGTAATTCCGATATTATGTTTATCAGAATGGTTTTCTGAGGGTATACCCGAACTTACACATGCCTTTAAAATAAGTGCATATTATGGAGCTTTTTCTGCTGTATTTTTTGGTATTTTTATTTTAGCCATTATTTATATTATGGATTAGTTTGTGATTTATTATGGGAAAAATATTGTAAAACTATAATTATACATCAGGATATATTTATAATATTTTTTAATAACATTCTATACATAAATTTGTATTCATAACGCACTATGTATATTATATATATTTTTGCATATAAATTAATGATTTCTTAGGTTTTTAAAAATAATTTAATCACAGTAATTTTTTTATGTAATATTGAAATCATGGATTCATTGTAATCATTTATTTACACAATCATTAATATGATTATTTAATCCATGTTAAGTTTCTACGATTAATCCATATAAATATATACTTGTAACTATTATGTTAATCCCAAATATTTTATAATTATGAAGCATCTGATACGTGAAATAAAAGTAAAATTATTTATAAATATATATTAGTGCTTTTTTCTTTGTGTGTAGGAAAATGATTTATATTAATAAAAATTTTATATTGCGTAACTCTATATTCTTAAATAAATGTTCGGTTTCAAATATTTTGCTTCATTTATATATTATTTTATTGTATGCTTATATAGTTATTTATTGATGTGATTAAAAATTTGCTCTTTTACATTCATATGTAATGTGAATTATTTTTGATTTGTTTTTTGAATAAAGAGAAAACTTATTATAATTATGCTTTTTGTTAAACAAAAAAATAATTTTCAAAAATTTGCTTTTTCTTCAATGTCTGATGAAAATATTTATATATAGAATTAATCATTTATAATTTTTTTTATTAGAAGCTTATTAATTTTTTTAAATGGATATATAAAAAATTATAACTATTATATATGTATTATAGATGTAAATAAGTATAATGCAATTTAAGAAGCATTTTTTTTCATTTAGAATATGTGATATATATAGATATAATTATTTCTTTCATTCGAAATTTAGAACTAGTAATTCATATAAAGTAATATGCTTACTCACATGATACAGATAAATATATACATCAAAAATAATTGGAAATATACATTTTAACAATTCCTACACCCTTCAGAAAAAAAAAATTATTTATGTTATAATTGAATTAATGTTGTAGCACTATTATATTATTAAAGGCTTATTAATAATTAAAATAATAAATGATAATGCTTTAGTAATATAAAAATACAATGAACGTAATATAATGCTGATAATGTGATATCAGGTAACATATTTATACATATGCATGAAAAGTGAATCTTCTCAATTCATAAATTTTCTTTTTTAATAGTTATTATTATTATGAATAATATATATATATATATAAAATATATATCTCTGTGTAAATGCAATAATAATGAGCATTGTTATTTAAGCCCATTTTAATAATTAACTTGCGTTAACTGTTAAAAACATATTATGCAACTGATTATAACTTAATCCCTCTAAATATTCATAGTTCATTTAAATTTAATTAAAACATTTTTTCATAAAATTAACAATAAGAAAGGACAACTAATAAACCCCTTTTAACAATGAGATAAGGAATCCAATTATAAAAAAAATTAAAAGTAAGAATATTACCAAAATATTATACAGATATTCATGCTAAAATAATATTTTCCACGTGCACATAAAATAGAATATTTTAGTTTTTTATTATTTATTTCATAAAGCATGTTAAATATGGATCATTATAAACATATCCATCTATAAAAAATTAATTCTATGGGCACATCGTTATTTTGAATTAATCTATAGCAAAAAAAAAAATTAACAAGCATGTATAATTATCTAAGATAAGAGCTTATTTAATGTGAATATAACAATTCAGAAATTTCTTTGAAATAATGTTTTAATTACATACATTTTTGTATCATTATATCTATTTTATATAATAACTATTATTTTCCTTAAATTATAAGTATACATATTAGAGTGCAATAACTTCTTAATATATTTGTAGAAAGTTTATATAAGTAAAAATAAAGAAATTTTTTTTATCTCTAATTACTCTATGTATAAAAATGAAGAAAATTATTTAAACGCTTTATATTATTTTTACAAGAACTCAGATAAATATATATGTTAAAATTTAGTTCTTTTACCTCTTTTTTATTTCTTGGTATTTATTAATTAAAATAAAAATAAAATAAAAATACTTCATGAATTGCTTTTATTCAAATAACTAATTATTGGAGATATATATTAGCTATATTTTTGAAGCTTTATGTTTTATATGTGTATATATATTCATTAATTTATCATAAATTTAAAATTTATAATATTTTAAATATAGTACCAAGGAATGGAGACTACAGAAAAATAAAATATATTACAAATATAGGCTTTCTTTCATATATCAAATACATATTATTAATAACTTTTAAGATAATATTAAATATTTTCACAATGAGTGGATATAGTAGGATTATTGTTTTTATTAAAATTGTTATTTTAGTCCTTTTAACATGGATATATATGAGTTCCCTTCTTGAGGTGTTGAAAAATATATATTAAAATTTTATATTTATTATTGTTAATGTTTACTCATCCCAGTTACACATCTAATTATTAAAAATATTAATATTTTCTTTATTTATTTCAGCGAAGATTTTGTAAATATTTGGACAACGGATTAACTATAGACAAATCAACCATTACAAGAACTGAACGCTTATTGACAGAACAAAAATCAGTCACAGAATTTGAAAAAATTGAATTAAAAAACAAATTTTCTTCTAATGAGGATGATAGCAAATTAAAAAATAGTGAAAAAAAACTTTCTTTAAATGAAGACTTAAAAAATGCATCGAAACAGAGATATAAAAGACATAAAAAACTTTTAAATACAAGGCATGTTATAAATAAAGATTCAGAACAAATATCTTATATATATAATTACATCAGATCAATTGATTATTCTATTAAGGATACAATACAGCATCATTCCGAAAAATTAGTTAAATATAATTTAAATGATATTGTTAGAAATGAAATTATAGAAGAAATCTTATGTAAAGATAATATATTAATTCATTCGATTCCATTATATGGAAAAATCAGTACAATATTATATTCTATTTTTGAAGATATTAATTATGATATTGCTATAAAATCAATAAATATTTCCCTAGTTTCTATTTTTACATATAAATACAGTGCATATATGAATAACATATATAGCTCATTATATATTTTGCCATTTCTCACAATAATGATTATATGTTTATCACAGCTTTTTTATATTATGGGAGAATATGAAATTCAGAAAGAATTAGAACATATAATAGTAAGGAAAAAGGAAGCAATAAAAGAGAGAAAAGAGAAATTAAAAGATTTAGACAATTATAAGAAATTTTATAAGTATAGATACGATAAAAGAATTGGATTAGGAAAGTTGGACTGCTATTGTGAAAAAAAAATATTTAGTCAAATTGACAAAGTGTATATGCTTGCAGATACTACAGGGGTAAATAAAAACTCTTTTAAAAAGGAAATACTTAGAAAGTATGGATTACATGTTACAGTGCCTAATTTTTTTTTTCTTATTTCCTTAGTAATATATGTTTTAGAATGTATAAATTATCATATAGAATTTTTTAAGGATGGACTATTTAAGGCAAATAAAGATATTATTAATAACATAATAATAACACTAGGTGACATACTGGTATATGTAATACCAATTATATTTGTATTTGTTATTATTTATGTATTAATAAAAATTGAAAAGTATGAAAGATTAAGAGCAAGGAAAGGTAAAATGAACGCAAAAGAATATTTCATCTTTTGTAAGGAAATATTTAAATAAATTAGTAGATGTGGTATTTTTATTAACATAATACATATTCCCATTGTATATTTCTTTCAAATTTGTTTATTCGTTATATACATTGGACGTATTCAAAATTAATATGTATATTAAACATAAATATTATTTAAATAAATATGATTTATCATATTTATTTTTTATATAATAACATTAGTTCAGCGTTATATGAGTTTTTAAATATGTGTGTAAAAAATATCATCATTTGTAGTAATATATATATATGTTAAATTAGTTTAACCCTCCTTTCAATCTAAAATATGTTCTTCATATATAATGTATATATAAATATGCTTATGCTGAAAACATGTGAACTAGATTTTTATTTTTTTAATATAATATTATTAATACTACAGAATTTATGATTTAATGCTTTTGATTAAAATGCGAACTCTATTATATTTTTTAAAAGTTTTCATTAATAATTGATATGTTTGTATGTATATTTGTTAATGTTATTTTATATTTGATTCATTTTGCGACTAATTCAATAAATATAATGAGTAATTTTGTTTCCTGAATTAATATTTTTTATTGCCTTTATATTAATTAATAGATATGTATATTATATAATTAGAAATTATATAATATAAACTATGTAATAATAATTAAATTAAATATATATAATATAATTTTTTACCATGTAAAGTGTTTAATTTTTATTCTTCTGTGTTTACACTATATGCTTTAAGTGTTCATAATTGCACTTTTAAATATATATATTTTATAATTCATATTATTACATGGTATAACAGGGGAATATATAATCATTTGACTTTTAATTATTAGTTAATTAGGATATTTCTATTATTTTATATGATAAATAAAAAGGAAATATTTTTAATTATTTCGGTATCATAATAGTTTAAAAATTTGATTATTCATTATTCAAATGCTTGGTAAATCGTATATAATTATTATGTATAATCTTGAGGGATATAAAAAGTTTACTCTATAATTTTTACTATAATTATACTTTACATTATATAAGAGGATCATTTAGTAAGATTTTACTCAATATACATTAACTAAAATTTTATACATATATTTTATTAATGCATATATATCTATTTAATGTTTTAAATTTAGTAAATTAACTAGAAATATATTTTTTATATTTTCTTCTATATTACGTGTCTTAAGTGTGTTTAGAACTTATATATATAATAATACTATAATCAGTTATAAATAAAAAATAATTAGGAACAATTTATATATAAATCATCATATTTTTATTTTTACACAATATTTACAAATTAGTTATTTATGTGTATCATTTTTAATGGATTTTATATACTCATTTTAAAAATTATATATATAATATGTTTATTAAGTAATACAAATTTTCTTAATTAGTAATTGTTTGATCATAACACATTTTTTAATGAAATATGAAATTATTTTTTCGTAAAGTCCATATATATAACATTTTACAAATTTTTTTTCACTTAGATAATGATAGGAATATATTATACAATATAAACGCTTTACTGCTTCTTTTATAATGACTAGGTTAAAAAATTGTATTAACATTATTTCAAAAGAAAGAATATTTTAATAAGATAATATATTTTTATGACCAAATTTAAAGCACAATTATAAGATGGCACAAATATTTTTATAATAGAATATTTTATTTAATTTTCTTATATTAATTCATAAAGAATATCACCTACAAATTTTATAATTTAATGTTTCTATCAATTTTTATTCTATATTTAAGTTTCTATTTTGTCAAAAAATATATTATTCCATAGTTACTTATATTAATGACATATTAATCATTGAATTTTTATATATTTAAGTTAATGGTATCAACTGTAAAAAATTTAGTTAATAAAATATATAATGGATTTACAGGAAGAAACGATATGGTAGAAGATGGATACATTAATATATGAAAGCTAACAGATAATGGAATACAGTAATCAAAGGAGAAGTGCTATATGTATATAGGTGCATAAAATTTAATGTATTATTTTTTTATTATATATAATTTGATATTTTATTTATTTTCTTTTTCATAAGTATAGAGTATAAGGAGTGTTATAAAATAAAATTAATATGAAAATTTTTTAATGTTATAATATAATTCAAAAAATAAAGGAATATAATATGTGAAAATAAAGGTTCATATTTTAAGAATACATATATTTTTTATATTATGTGCGTCCATTATAGAATGAAATAAAAAGTACCTAAATGTTTCTTTATTATAAATATATTTGTTATAATTATTGATATATTTTATGCAAATTAATAAGAATTAATCTAAAAAATTATAATATATATGTTTAATTTCTTGCATTTTTATCATTGTTCCCAAGACTTTTCTACCTTATAATTAATTATAATTTTAATGTTGTAATTGTGAAAATACCTTAATTATAAAATGAAATATGCAATAAAAGTATAGTCTTAATATTCTATCTTCTTCTTACTGTTACTTTGATTAATTTATATATATATATATATATGTGTGTCTTGCTTTATATTATAAGCTATACAGCAATTAATGGGGCAAAACACATAAAATGTACCCAAAATTGTAAAAGAAATAAAAAAATAATTTGTGATTTATTTATAGTCTTATAATACTAAATAAATACAACAGAAGTATGCATGTTTTGAATAAATTTGGAAATAAATTTAAAATATATTTAAAAGGTAAAAAATATATATGGTATTAGGAAGTCCTCGTTAAATAGAGTAGAAATTTAAGGTACATGATAATTTTCATAGCTATAAAAATTAAAAAAAATAAGAATAATTTATCACATATACTTGGAATAGTCTTTTTATGAATTTAGAATGTGTTAAATATTTAATAATAATATATTACAATATAGATGAAAATTTTATAATTGTGAAAATGCATATCTATATCTTAAGAACAGCATGTATAATACATGTATATATATTTATTATATTATGGATAATAAAGAATATATATAATATGAACATGTGTTCTATCATTATTAAGATACATAATGAGATATTTATGAATCTGTGAAAAATATCTATGTTATTTTATAAAAATAGAAATATTATTTTTTACAACACTCTCTATTAAACACAAAAATAAAAAACGTGAATTTTTTAATTATAACTGTTACAGATAGAATATTAAGTATAAAATTCTGTTAATAATATGAAATCATTTGGGTGTGTATAAATAGAGAAAATTTTTTGTAAAATGATTCAGATATTCAGGTGTTCCTAGATAGACTACAGCTTTATATTGGCATTAGGTATCAAGAAATGAACATGCTCCTAATAATAATACAACATTCTTAATTACATGATAGAAAAAATTCCCATTATTATCTTTATTCTATATTAATAATATATGATTAAAAATATAAAATGTTCTTAGCATATATTATTTTCATAGATTATGTTCTTATAATATTAAAAACATGAATTCACTCATTTTTAAAAGAAATAAATTTATTAAAGTAAAAAAACATAAATATTATACATAACTGTAAAATTAAATAATAATTATAATAAATGGATGGATAATATTTCCTTAATAGTGTATTATAAATGAAGACTTATTATCGATCTAAATATAATGTCTACAAAAAAAAATCCTGAAAAATAAATTCAATTAGAGATCCTTTTCATACGGTGCTACTAAATATAAATATAAAGAAATTATATAAATTAATTTTATTTACTGTTATAAATACATAAACAGTTAAATTTTTTTAGTATAAAAGTCTATATAAAATATACTTTATTTGCTTCAAGAATTTAATTATGTTCCAAAGTGTGTAAACTGTTTTTTTAAATGCCAGATAATATTTATAAATATACGGAAATAATTATTTTATTAATCATTTAACATTATGAACTTTTGTAAATACAAATATTATTTTTATGTAAATATAATCTAACATATATATTAAGAACTCAACAAGTAAATGTACCCAAAGCGATGCACCTGAATAATTTATATCAATATTAATTGGAATTTATTTCTATTCATTTATAATATTCAGAGTTAACATGATTATTATGTTTCATTTTAAGATCCTAAATTGCATGAATATATTTTTGTTAGTATATTCTCGTCTAATAAACTTTATGAATGTGCATTTTGTTCTCAAAACACTTAACATATGAGATAACAGTTGATCTATCATGGTTAATTTTTTTAGGTTAAATATAAAATTTTATTATTATTAATTTTCCGTGTCACATTTAATAAGATTTTATATTGTGTAAATATGTTAACCTAGATATTATAACAAATATCACTTTTTAAATTATTTTATTTATTCACATTATAATTACTATATACATAAGTATCATATACTAACGCATATCCATATATATATTCATTATCAAAAATATATATATTCTTTTTGTAGAGACTAATTATTTGTTACTAAAAATTAAAGTCTTGCTAAATAATAATATATTACTTTTACGATATTTTTCTTGATAATTTACATTCAATTTATTAACTTTAAGTTTTATGAAAACCATGCAATAAATTAAATATAGAGTATATTTCACGGATCTATAAAAATTCACGAATATTTTTTACTTTAATGTATGTTTTTATTTAATTTTTGTATTTATGCAATAGCGTAAAAATATTTTTGTAATATAGGTGTAAAAATGTTCCATATATATTTTTATTAAAATGATGTTTTATTTTTGATGTTATACTTTTATAAAGATAATCATTGAGGCACAATTTATGATATAAGAAGTTAGATGTGCATGGATAATATATTTTTCTAATTTATATAGAATAAGATATTAAAATATCTAACCTATTCATTTATTCATAGCATTTTATTCTGTACCTATATTATTTACTTTTTTTGTCTATTGAATGTAAGAATAATTATAAATGTAAAGCAAAAAACGCATTTTTTCAGGAAGAAACACTAAATACATATATGATTATGCTTTAGATCTTATAAATGAAAATAAACATAATAATTTATTTGTGATAAAGTAAA